ATGAACTTTTTTTCTATTTAAAACATGATCTCAGATTTTATTTAAAATATTAGCATTATAATTTAAATCAACACATTAATTGAAATGCATAGTTCTAATAGGCAGGGAAATATTGATTATAAGAAAAATAGCAGGTAACATGAAACAGATATGTAGATATGATTTCAGTTCAGGAAAATTGTGCGGACGTGTGTCAACTGCGTTTAACATGTGGTTGCTCTTTTTTACTATGTTTCCGTTTTTATTAACATACTCAGAGTCTAAAATTCTTCAAGGACGTCTTGTAACACGTGAAGTACTATAAACATTTTTCACTTTTTAAATCTACTTCGATCTAATAATCTTAATTTTAGTTAAAGGAAAATAATTTTTAGAATTAATATTAGTAAGAATACACATTTTGAAACAATATATGAATTTTAATATATTAACTGCAACTACATTTAATTTCAACCAAGTAAAGACAATAAATATTATTACAACAATCTACTAATTACAAAATAATCCTATATAATACCATTGATACCATACAGTACCAATAATTATCAATAAATTAAATTTTACAATTTTTTATATTCTTTAAAATATTATTTGCAGATTATTTTTCAATTTATTTTACTACAAAGCAAAATTGTTTCTTTTTCAGAATTGGGCATTTTTAGCAAGATTCTGTTTTTTAACCGAGGAAGGCACATTTCGGTATAATTTTGAATTAGGAGGTAAAGAAAAGAATTTGAAAATATTATTATATTATGATGCACCTGATCAATGGACAAGCATCTATCCTTCAAATAAGACATGTATCGAAAAAGAAGCTATACTCTGGGATGGAATTGGTCAGATAATACCATTATCTAACTTAACATCCGAAGAATCAGGATGTGTCGTAAAAGAAGACGCGAGAATGCGATGTGCTAGTTTTCGAAGGTTTCGATCAGGTCGTCCTAGATGGTGGTTCATCGCACTAGCAGATTGTTCATCAGAAATTGGACTAAACGTCTCGTATTGGGTGTCGTTAACAAACGCGCCACATGGTTATTTTTGGAAAGAACATTTTTCAGTAGATGAATTCTGTAAGTAACTTTATCTTGACTGAGTATAATTTAATACCATTTAATTGTCTTTACTTTCATTTTAGATATATTACCAGAATTGATAACAATTGCTTGCATTTATGTTGTACTTGTGATATTAAGTATTTATGTGGCCATGCAATTACGGGCACGGAGACTATTACATGTATCTTACAAAATATTTGTGGCTTCACTACTTTGTCAATTAGTGGGGATGCTATTTGAGATTTATAGCTATATAAACCTTGGTCTAAGAGGAGTACCATCTGAAGGTGCTTCTTTATTGGGTCAATTGTTAGAAGCATGTTCAGATATTTTGTATACTGTACTTATGTTACTACTGGCACTTGGTTTTACAGTGACTAAAAGTATCTTAACAGCTAAACAAATTAAATGGCTTGTATGTTTTACTAGCCTGCTTTGTTTTTGTCAATTTTCATTGTACATCTACAACTCCGATGTGTTTGATCCTGGGTTGGTGTTATACATTTATGAATCACCACCAGGTTATGGATTAATAATAATAAAATTGATTGCATGGATTGTATTTTCTCTTCGCTGCTTTAAGACTGTTAAAAAAATGTCAACAAAGCTTCATTTTTATGGTTCATTATTTTCATTGGGATCAGCATGGTTCTTATGTCATCCATTAACGGTATATAATAAACATGCATTTGTTTTTATAGTAGCATAAAACATTAAATATTGAAACATTTGTAAAGAATATTTTCATTGTATTATAATATGTAAAAATATATTTATAATTTATAGATACTCTGCATCACTTTATTAGTAGATGAATGGGTACGAGAAAGTGTTGCTAAGGGATGTTCATTGTGGATTATTTTTATGGGACATATAATATTTTTGTACATCACACGACCATCTATGGCTAACAAACGTTTTCCATTTCATATTAGGACATGTCAAGTTATGCCAATTGGTGGTGATGGACAGGACCACAGTTATGAACCCCATATTAGAACAACCACTTCTGCATTCACTATTTCACATCTAACACCAGCTACTTTGCAATCATAATAGTAAGCATACTCTAAAACAGGTGATACTTTATGATTATAATTACATGATGATGGTAAATTCTACTTTTTATTGGTGCTTTTCAATGTTTATTATGAATAAAACATTATGCACAGGTATAATTAGTTTACAAGCATAAACATTAATTTATATGTGTCATTAATGCTTTTACCATTGTACTATTTCATAGAGAAGTATTTACAAACTTCAACTTACATGGTGTTCTATACCATACACAGGTTTCATTACAAAATTTAAAATCATAACTAATGATTATCAATCACATGAACCATCAAGCCAACCATCTCTCCACCTTTGGTCAACAAGATTACAATCAAACTCTGATTTTCCAAGTTTTTTGTTTACCTCATTATGTATAATGCAGAGCCATTGGCTTAACTGTTTTTGTGAATCAGTTTGTGGTGGACAATGCTTCAATTGTTCCTGTAAATCTTCTGCACATACATAACAAGGATAAAATTTAGAAAATATATGGAAAAACTTTTTCATATCTGTCTTTTGTTCTTCACTTGGACTACTAGGATAATATGCTGCCATGGTATGTAAAAATGACCATGTTTTTGAACCTAACTCATCTTTATCTAATGGACAATCGTCACGTTTAATATTGTCATTTACAGGTGGACTTTCCTCCTTTTTTTTCTTAGATTCCTAACATAAATAAAATACGAACAATCATCATCTAATAAAAATTACTCATTTGAAAAATGGTTTATACAATGATGTAATACTTTTTAATGTATGATTATGAAAATAAAAATATTTTTTCTTACTAAAAGGAAAGGCTAATTTATATCGTACATAAATTTATTAAAGAATACTTGCTTATACCTTCTCGGAATCGAAAGTCTTTTTTTGACTCTTTGCCCATGATTTAAAGTCCATACATGCACGACAAGGTTTTTCGTGTGACATTTTTTTATTAAAGTCACAGTATACATCCGTAAATACGTTTAAAAATTGCAATTAATAATATTCCCACGTGGGAGATAACCTCTTCTATGAAACTATAATTCATGTACCTGTTACATCGAAAAATTGATATATAAATATTTCAAGTTGTATCATATTTCCATAAATGGCAAATATTTCGTAAATCAATCAAAATTATTTAAATTCACTATAAACTTTTTACTAGCCAATTTTTACTGAACACGCACCGATGTTATGATATATATCTTTATATATAACGACTTGCGACTCATTTCAGATAAGAAACCAAACGTAATTATAACTTTACATTACGAAAGAGAAGCGTGGACATAAAAGCTCAAAGCACATACTTTTCCTACGTTCACGTTGAGTAAGTGACGAAGAAGAAGAAAAAATTGCGTGTGACTAACCTGACCTGACTGCAGTCAGCGAGTGACAAATGTCAAGTGTAGTTTTGACTGCACCGCAAATGATACGGTTGTCGGTAAAGTTGATCTTCTACATAGATGATGGCGAGTCGTAAAAAAAGTTATGATTCGTCTCGATCCGTATCGAGAAATGCAAGGCGTCATGTCGGAGAGGTCATGTTTTCGTCATCTTCATCTTCTGAGGAGGAGGTAACAACGGGATGTCGGAGTTGTAGAAACACATCGAAGGAGTATTTTACTAGAAATCCTGTCGAGGCGGACTCGCAAACAGGTTAGATTCAACCTAATATTTGTCATAAAATTCAATTAATAATTAGGTTAACATTCATTGTTTCTTATTTCTCACAGGACCAAACAGGTCCGAGAGATACGACGAGAATCCTTTTAGTTTTAAACATTTCATAAAAAGTGGTTCAGAAATGAATTATCAGAATACTGGAGCTCGTCCAAAGATTTATTCCTCTCCAACACCAAGTCCATATAATTTGGAAAAAGATTCTGCTGTTTATTCTCGTAATCCAACAGAATTACCAGACTTTGTACAAGATCACTTGGTCATAGAACAATATTATCTAAATTGTGGGCTTAAACAACAGCCCATTCTAGATGTAGATAATCTTCCCGACTTTGCACTAAACAGTGTGGAGCAAAGGCAAACAAGACTTAGAAATGAATCAAAGAAGGATGAATCTAATGCATGTGATTTTTCATTTGATCTAACTGAAAGCTTAGACAAAGGATTACCTCATAGGAATGAATCTGTACCAAATACAAGTTGTTCTGATCATTTATCTGTTTTTGTTAGACCTATTACAGGATCTAATGAACGTCCAGAAGCATCAGGTAATTTGTAGAAGGATAAACCATATTGTTAAACATGTCTTAAATAGATTTTATATTTAAAATTTTCCATTATTTAGGGTTTCCATTAGATTTACCAATATCTGTAGCTGAGCCTGATCCTGGCTCAAATGTTTCCATAAGGGACTCAGGAACAAATGAAGGAAATGTTTCAAAAGCATTACCAGATTTTTTAAACGATGGCCCTATTCATAATAGGACAACATTATCAACAGAATCTGGACCTATTCCAAATAGTGCAGAATCCACAGAGAGGAGGGTATGTATAATGCTAAATGTTTAATTGTATACTTGTTATTATTTTTAGAATTATAATATATGGATTTCTTTTAGTTATTATTAGAAAATGAAAGATTAAGACATGAATTAGAACTAGCTCAAAAACAAATCAATGAAAAGTCAGAAAGGTAATCCTGAGAATATATTTTATTTTTATATAAAGTGTATTTTTTCATTTACTCATATGATGTTTATTACAGAATCCAAGTATTAGAATCAGAATTAGCATCTAGAAGAGAAGTGGAGCATGAAGAAACAATTCACCTTGAAAAAGCCATGGAACAAGTTGAAGATAATTTGAAACGTAGTACAGTAAGTATTATGTAAAAGTAAACCAATACTTTGTACATTTGATTAATGTCCACAATTTCAATTTTTTTTTTTTTATAGAGAAGAGCAGTATATGCAGAAAGTACCGTTTCGTCATTAAAAAGAGAAATTAAATCTTTAACGGTTGGTAAAATTTTTTATCTTTTTTTTTAACGTCTTATAATATATCTAGTATTAAATGAAAAATATGTAATTTTAACCCAGATGGAGTTATCGTTACTACGACTAGAGAACAAAGAACTTAAAGCTGGAATTGTGACGGGTAGTAGAAGTGAATATGGTTCGTCAAAGACGGATCAGACAGTAAGAAGGTTAGCCAGTGATTTAAAAAATGCTGCTTCATCTGCGGAAATATCATTAAGGTAAAAACATTTCAACTGAATTTATAGATCAACGAATTTAAATAACTTTCATTACAGACAGCTAATATCCGGTGTGGACAATTTAAGAGTACTAGCTTCTGCACTTGAAAATGTGGATAGGATAGAAGACCGGACCAAAGATTTTGTACCAGATTTTGATGAAGATAACGCTGCTGGTCCTGCACTTTAATATATTCTTATGTACCCTTTTCTCTGTACACTACCTTTATTTCACTTCTATGACATGTATCCCAGCCTGTGCTAATAAGTTCCTCGAACTCTCGCATTCGCGTTGAGTACTCGTTTTGGAGTCGATTAGTGATCTGATTCGATTAAAAAGCATGATATTCATATCATGTTTGTTGTGTCTTTATGTGTTAGTAATAGCTCTTGAATTTCGACTTACATAACAGTTCTAGGTGTATAACAATCATATATCGTCCTTGCTTGGCAAAGCATGCCTTCTTAAGTGTAATTTTAATCCTTAACAACAAACATTGATAAAACAGTGATCTATCACGATGTGGCTCCGAGCAAAAAGAACCTAAAGATTATAACTTTTATATGTACGTTTTGACATGAAGCCATAAACGCAGAGCACTGGTTGGGATTCAGAACACAATTCCAACACAGTTGTTAAGAAAACAATATTTTAATAGTTATTGTGACAATGTTACGTGTACAGTTTCAAATTACATGTTCCATTTTTTTGTAAATGTTGAAACTATCAGCTGAGCAATTAGGTTCGAAGCAGACAAGATCCTTCGTGTATTTTTCTATTTAAGGGGGTACATGACTCTTGAGTCTCAAAAACATGAATCTCCTTTTAAAAGAGGTTGTAATTATACAAATTGACAAATATGTTTTTCTAAACGATATATAGCAACAATATATATGTATACAAAAACAAATCAATTTTTAAAAGTTGCCTTTGTATGTGACACATGAACGATTTTACATATTTAGATTACACTTCCATTTGCATATACTAAAAAATTAATTACACTGGAAACTTCAA